CCTAGTAATTCTGTTTCTCTGGAGGTTCATGCTTTTGTTTGTTGAATTTGGTTAGTCTAATTCATGCTGCTAGTTTTCATAAGCAATTGGTGATTCATGTTTTATTCTTATTTGGTAACTGAAGGGTGAGATTAAATCTATTAATTTTTCTCTACCTCATGTAAAAATCCCATTTGTGTGTTGTTGAATCTAGTGTCTGATTAAAGTCTTTATCTCCTCTAGTGATTGTGGAGAAGGAGTGGAACTCGTAGATAACTTACCTTTTGAGTTTGGACTCTTTCCTTCCTGCGATCTCTAAGTAAATGGGAAAAACGTCTCTTTTTCTCTGGCTCCTATCTTAGCTTTGTAAGGCTCTCATTACTGAGAGACTCTTATGTTATATATTACGTTTTTACACATACTAGAGTTGTCTTGTGTTTTTTGATATCTAATTATTATAGATTTATGTTCTAATATTTTATAGGACTAAATCATTTTGTTACTTTTTTAAAAATCATGGAAGTACTTTATTTGAAGCTTGGGGAAGAAAGACTGGTGACACGGAACAGCTGTTTCCATTTTAAGCAGAGAAACGCAGGAGAGATTTCTGTAAGAAGGTAGCAAGCAGCTCAGATTCCATTGTTCATAATTTTGGTGAGGGACTCTGCAGAATCACTTTTACTAAATTGGGAGTAGGCCCATCTCCCATTACTTGTTATAATTTTCTCACGTTTTTTCTTTATCATTTCACATGATTTTAGGATTATATAGTTAAAAATAACTATGTATTATATTTTGACTATGAATCCACCAAATATACAAACTAATTTGAGAATGATTGATAGCATTGTAATATTTGAGATTTCTTTTCCAAGACAAGGGATGTTGTCAAGTTTATCAATTTCTAGATTAAATTCCATATGATTAAGAATCAGTAACAACTTATGAAGATCTTTAAAATAACCAAAGATCTATTTCACAATTTCTATCTCTTCTCTACTGACTAAAACACCGGTTAAAAAAAAACAAGCACCTCAAGAATCAATATAGAAGGTACATTAAAAAAAATCTTCAGTACAACTTGAGTTATGAACACTGATGAGACATTTGATAACATTAATGAATTACTGTTCATTTTTTAGGTATTGCTAATTTGATAATTGTTGGATACGGGTTTATAACATTGGAAATAATTCACACCGAGACAATGGATAACTTAGCAAGGCTAGTTTACTCCCTGCAGGAATGGTGCAACTTGCTGGTAGTCTTGCCACGAGGGCACCCCTAAACAAAGGAGACAGGGACATTTATAACTTTCATAATCTGATGCAAGCACCCTACTACTGTGTCCAGTTTCCATTAGCCGGAATGGGAACTCAAATTCTATGCTTGACCCGATTGGCTAAAAACTTGGAAATTTTCTAAAGAAGAAAAGGCAGAGGAGAACAAAGGAAAAGAGGAAGTAACTTGAGGAATGCTTAGAGAAGTGATAACATTTCCAAGCAAGGAAGGGGAATAAGCTATGACCTAATATTTGCCTGGGCTTGTCCAGGCATGTCTGGGTGAATATCTAGGTTTAAGTGTAAGAACTAAGAACATGGGATGCACTTATTTCTTTATTATGACTAACAGTTACTTTAAGATTATTAGCAAAAGCTTTAAAGTAAATTAACCTTTGAAGAAACTATTATTTATTCATAATGAACTAAAAGGAAAGCTTTGAAGAGGAACCTTTTATTGATTCTTTTTTCCTACAATACTGTTGCTAACAGTATTTTGGTTATGCTGTTTAAAAAGAGTGCTGATCTGCTGGCTGCAGTGGCTCACACCTGCAATCCCACCACTTTGGGAAGCCGAGGCAGGTGGATCTCAAGGTCAGGAATTCGAGACCAGCCTGGCCAATATGGTGAAACCCGTCTCTACCAAAAATACAAAAATTAGCTGGGTGTGGTGGCGGGCACCTGTAGTCCCAGCTACTTGGGAGGCTGAGGCAAAGAATTGCTTGAACCCGAGAGGGTGAGTTTGGAGTTAGGTGAGATTCCACCACTGCACTCCAGCCTGGGCCACAGAGCGAGACTCCATCTAAGAGAGAACAAAAAGAGTGCTGATCTTTGAGACATATACATTGAAATAGGATTTCTAGAATTTGCTTCAAAATTATATAAGGTAGAAAGTATATAGGGGTATGAAACAAGATTGACCATGAGTTGCTAATTGTCGGAGCTGATAGTTATGTGGTTTATTATATTACTCTGTTTCCTTCATATATGTTTGAAGTTTTCCATAATAAAAATGAAAAATAAAGACAAATGTACAATGTCAAATAAAAGAATAGTAAGTAATGAGATGTACTGCTAACCACATTTATAGTCACAGGACAAAACTACTTTTAAAAATTGATTCTATTTTTTCCTGCCCACTTAAAAGTAATCTGTTGACCTTAAGCAAAACTATGAAGTAGGTATAGTTTATATTCTTTATTTCCTGTGTCATCTTTCTTCTTCTTAGTCCAATACTTGTTTTCCTTCTCCTTTGTCAAGTGCACATTGTGCTCTTGTTTGCCTCTTTATCTTCAAAAATTGTCATTCAAGAAACCCTGGCAGATGAACCTGTCCAAGTTAACATACAAGAGAAGAATGCTTTGTGAGGGAGATCAGGGATAGAAGACAAGAAATAGGTCTGATAGAGTATTAGAAAAAGATTTGAACATTTGGAAAAATGCTGATAAAAATGTGAAAGCTTGTTGAAACATTTGGAAAAAAGTTTTGAGAGTTTAATATGAAAAACACTATTTTACTTTTAAAAAACGGAGAGTGTGAAGACCAGGAAGGTAAAAGCTGAAACCTCTAGTATTCTAGCAGAAAGTAGGTAATGTACAAAAGGGGACAATCACAAAGTAGCAACATTAGCATATTATCAAGAAAGAAGAGAAACTACCAGCACATCTGATTAGAAGAAACCATTAAGTTCCTAATAATTAGTTCTGGGAGTAGGATAAGTTTGGAGAAGGGTAAACAGCATGGAACAGAAAACTGTATTTTATAAGCCATTTAGCAGTACAATCTGATTTTTAACAGTGTCTGTATTTTGTTTTAATAAGAATAAAAGTTAATATTAAAAACAACTTCTGTATTTATTGTTGATTTATTCTCCGAAACATCAAATAGAGATAAAACTGATAAGATTATAATATTGAATGAGGGGAAGGGTCTAGCTTCACTCTCTTACATGTACATGTTATCCCAGCACCAATTGTTGAAAAAACTATTTTTTCTTTAATTATCTTGGCACATTCAGAATCAACTGACCATAAATTCATGGATTTGTTACTGTGCTCTTGTGTAGTTATATGTCTGTCTATATGCTAGTTCCACATAGTCTTGATTACTGTAGCTTTTTAGTAAGTTTTGAAGTGGAGAGTGTGAGATCTGCAACTTTGTTGTTCTTTTTGAAGGCTCCTGGGTATTCTGGATTTTTTTTTTTTTTTTTTNTTTTTTTTTTTTTTTTCTTTTCTTTTGAGTTTCCACATGAATGGAATGAGCTTGTCAATTTCTACAAAAAAGGAAAGGCAGTAGAGATTTTTATAGGGATTGTGTTAAACCTGTAGATTAATTTGGGAACTTTTGCCATTTTAATAATAAGTTCTCTGATCCATGAACGTGGGATGTCATTTATTTAGGCCTTCTTCATTCTTTCAGTGATGTTTTATAGTTTCATTGTACAGATTTTGTACTACTACTGTTACATCTATTTCTCAGCATTTTTTTTTCTTTTTTTGATGCTACTATTAAAGAAACGGTTTTCTTAATTTCATTTTTGGATTGTTTGTCACTAGAGTATAGAAATACACTATATGTAACAACGTATTGGTTGTTTTATATTGATTTTCTATCTTGAAATCTTGGTGAACTCACTTATTAATTATAGTAAATTTTTGTATATTGGGATTTTCCATATATAAAATCAAATGATCTGCAAATAGAAATTGTTTTACTTATTGCTTTCAAATCTGGATGCCTTTTACTTGTCTTCTTTCTTTTCTTTTTTTGCTTAACTGCCCTGTCTAGAACCTCCAATACAAAGTTTAATAAAAATGCCAAAAATATACAGCCTTGTTTTATTCCATATGTAAGAGTAAAAGCTCCATTAAGTATGATGTTAGCTGTGGGTTTTTCATAGAAGCCATTTATCAGAGTGAAGTATTTTCCTCCTGTTTTTAGCTGAGTGAATATTTTTATTATGAAAGGGTTTTAGGTTTTGTCTAATGATTTTCTTTGTCTGAAATATTAGGTTTTGTTCTTTGTTCTATTGAGAATATTATATTGATTTTTTTTTTAAATACATTGAACTACTCTTGCATTCCTGGGATAAAGTGAACTTGCCCATTATGTACAATTCTTTTTATATGTCACTGGATTCAGTTTGCCAATATTTTAAGATTTTTGCATCCGTATTTCTAGGAGACATTGGCTGTAATATTTCTGTGTGTGTGTGTGTGTGTGTGTGATGTTGGGTTTAGTATCAGGGTAATTGGTCCCATAGAGTGAGTTGGAAGGTGTTTCTTCCTCTTTTTTTGTTTTTTTTTTTTTTTAATTGGAAGAGTTTGTGAAGTATTTATCTTAATTCTTTTTAAATTGTTTCATAGAATTCGGCAGCAAAAGCTGGTTCTGGGCTTGTAGGAAGTTTTATTATTCCTAAATTAGACTTTTTACTTGTAAGTCTATTTGAATTTTGTATTTTTCCTTGAGTAATGTTTTTAAATTCAAAAAATAAAAAGCAAGTGAAATGTTGTAAGTATGTATAAAGTAGTCTGATAAAGTCCAAATTGCATCTAAAAATCTATTCTGCTACTAATTCCTGGAAAGTCAATTTGAAACTCATACTGTTTAACAATTTCATTTTTGAAAATGTTATTTTTTAAAAGAATATTCTAAATGTCTATTTGCATTATTAAAATAATCTTACTCCATAATGGTTTGAAATTTTTGTTTTGTTTTGTTTTTATGTTGCTTTTATCTCAGCAGCAATGCAGCAAGTCTTGGAAAACCTTACGGAGCTGCCTTCATCTACTGGAGCAGAAGAAATAGACCTAATTTTCCTCAAGGGAATTATGGAGAATCCTATTGTAAAATCACTTGCTAAGGTATATAGATTTGTTCATAAGATTACTGAATTATTTTGGACATAGTTTTTACAGAGATATTTTCAGATATTACTATTTTAGAATTTGGTTGACATATTATTAGGTTTAGTTACCAAATAAAAGCACTTAGCACATAATGAAATCTTAACATATGCAAAAATTAGAGTATTTTTGCCTTTTCTATTCTGACTTCAGATACAGGATTAAGTGACTCTTAGTTTTGGCATAATGCCTTTAAGCTTTAGAGAAATCATACCTGCACAGATGTGTTTTAACAAGGCCTGTGAAAAAGATCCTGATCCTATTTCCATTTTCAACAATGGCAAGGTACTGATTTTCTTCTTTTACATTAGACTGTGTAGCTATTTTTCACTTAAATTCTTGACTTCCTTTAGCGCTTTTTTGAAATTTTGTATTTGTGGTATAAGCCTGATATTTTACGTGTGTTTGCCTAGTCAACTCTGGAGTTATCTCTTTAATTCATTGATAAATATACTTTACAACCATTTTTGTTAAATTATTATGTACTAAAACTTAATGTATTACCTACTTTACAACCCTGCTATACTATTCTTTAGAGTTCCCCAAATGATTCTTGCTTTCAAGAATCTATGCCACGTGCCTTCTTTGACCATTTCTTCATATAGGCCACCTTGTTCCTTTTACTTTTTGCTCTATGAGAATGTTGATTTCACTTTCTTCTGTTTATTAGCCACAGTCTATTACTTGTTTTCTTCAGACTTCTGAAAAATACCTTTTACAAAGTTTTCTACTAGTGAGTGAGTTAATGATGCAGATTTTTTTTTTTTTTTCTTTTTTTAACGGAGTCTTGTTTTTTTGCCTAGGCTGGAGTGCAGTGACATGATCCAGGCTCACTGTAACCTCTGCCTCCTGGCTTCAGGTGATTCTTCTACCTCAGCCTCCAGAGTAGCTGAGACTAGAGGTGTGTGCCATCACTCCTGGCTAATTTTTGTATTGTCAGTATAGGAGGGGTTTCACCATATTGGCTCCGCTGGTCTTGAACTTCTGACCGCAGATGATCCACACACCTTGGCCTCCCAAAGTGCTGGGATTACAGGTGTGAGCCACCACACCTGGCCAATGATGCAGATTCTTCATTTTTTTTAACATATTTACTCATGCCAAAATTATATGGTATACAGGCCCTTAAGTAGAAACAAATCTGCTTGCAGATTATTCAAGTGGAATTTTTATTTTAGTCATTTTTTTATTATACTTTTTCCAGTGTTCATTAGATATTTTTATATTTTAATAGTAATATGCAGGATATTGTTTCAGATTTAAACTTGTCATAAACATTAATTCCTATTGTGTTAAAATAAAATAATAGCTCCAGGGTCTGTTGAAATTAGTAGGAACTGTTTCAGTTTAGATTAAATAGCTTACCTGAGTTCTTATTGTACTTTTAAAATAGTTTTTTACTCTTCTCTCGATGTTATTCTGTTGATTGTCAGTTACTGTCCATGTGTCTGTTACACTGTTAGCTCCATGTTTATTTGATGTGTAGCTTTTGATCTGTAGATTTAAAAACTATGTAATAAGGCATTTACAACATGCTTACAGTTTACAAAGGTCTTTAAAATACACTGTTTTGTCTTCACAACATCTGTGAATTTAAAATATACTATTTTATCTTTCAACAACTTTTGAAAACTAAGACTCAAAGTAAGTTAAGTGTTGTACCTAATGTCTCTCTGCTAGTAAATGGCAGATAAGGTTTAGGCCATGTCTTCTGTCATCAAAATCCATGTTCTACCTACTACAACACAGGTTGATGGGATATGTGTATGTGTGTGTATACTTATTCTTAAGAACTGGTGTGAGTAAAAATTTATTGGTTTTGTGCCATTGATGTTGGCCTTTCAGAGGATCATCTTGTTTCTTATGGTTAACAATTGCAATGGTTGGATGACTTTTGAGCAGGTAAGGTGCTACTGTACTCTTTTGATGATAAAAGTGAAAGCAAATAATTACCCAATAATATGCAACATTGAAGCAGATTTTTAATAAGGAAAAACAATGGTAGTTCAATATTCCTACAATATAGGTTAAAAAAAATCCCAGGAATAGGGGAGGAATTCTGCTTCCAAGAAAGAAATAGTAAGTCACAGCAGGTCAGCACTCTTAGTATAACAAGTAGAGGGAAAAAGGAGACTCACATTGCTAGATACGCAGAGAGGCAGGAATATCTGGCTGCTAATCATGAGAGAAACAACAGAGGCAGTCCCATAAATGGTTCTTTTATTAGCATTTATGCACAAGAATTTGAAAATAACTTATTAATGTATTTTTAATAGAAAAGGGAGAAAAATGACATTTTTTAATTATTAGAAAAATTTTATTAGAAAATCAGAATAAAAGATAATCAAATGGGCATTTTAGGATAAAAAATACAGTATCTGAAATTAGTTCACTTATAGAAGACTAGACACAAGAGAAGAAGGAATAAGTGAATTTAAAGATAGATTAATAGAAAATATTCAAACAAAAACTAATAGAAAAGAAAGAACAAAAAAAGATAGCAGAGTAGGTGAAACATAGTGAAATATGTAATATATATGTAGTTTGTATTCCAGAAAGAAAGGAGAGAGGGAAGAAGAAATGTAGGCAGACCCTGTACTTTTGCATTTCACTTTATTGCCCTTTGCAGATACTGCCTTTTTAATAAATTGAAAAGTTATGACATCCCTACCATCATCTGTTAGCACCATTTTTCCAACAGCATGTGCTCATTTTTTCTGTGTGTGATATTTTTGTACTTCTTGCAATATTTCAAACTTTTTCATTATATCTCTTATGTTGATCTGTGATCAGTGGTTGTTGATGTTACTCATAGTTATTTGGGGTGCCATAAACCATGCCCATATAAAATGGTAAACTTAATAAATGTTGTATGTTCTCACTGCTCCGCCTACCACTCATTCTTCCATCTCTCTCTCTCCCTCCCTCTCTCTCTCTCTCTCTCTCTCTCTCTCTCTCTCTCTCTCTCTCTCTCTCTCTCTCATATCTCCGGTTCCCTGAGACACAACAATATTGAGATTAGGCCACTTAACAACCCTGTGATGGCCTCTAAGTATTCACATGAAAAGAAAAGTTAAACATCTCTCACTTTAAATCAGAAGTTAGAAATGATTAAGCTTAATGAAGAAGGGCTGTTGAAACATGAGACATGCTGAAAGCTAGGCCTTTTGGGCCAAACAGCTAAGTTGCAAATGTAAAGGAAAAGTTCTTAAATTAAAAGTGCTAACTGACTGTCTCCTGAAGTAGATCCCTGACCCCCATGCCTCCTGACAGGGAAACACGTTCCAGCAGGGGTCGACAGATACCTCATACAGGAGAGCTGTGCGTAGCGTCTGGCAGGTGCCCCCTGGGACAAAGCTTCCAGAGGAAGGAGCAGGCAGCTCTCTTTGCTGTTCTGCAGCCTCCACTGGTGAAACCCACGCAAACAGGGTCTGGAGTGAACCTCCAGCAAACTCCAGCAGACCTGCAGAAGAGAGGCCTGACTGTTAAAAGGAAAACTAACAAACCAATAGCATCAACATCAACAGAAAGAACCGCCACACTAAAACTCCATCCAAAGGTCACCAACGGCAAAAACCAAAGGTAGATAAATCCAAGAAGATGAGGAAAAAACAGTGCAAAAAAGGCTGAAAATTCCAAAAATCAGAACGCCTCTTCTCCAAAGGATCGAAACTCCTCACCAGCAAGGGAACAAAGCTGGACAGAGAATGAGTTTAATAAATTGACAGAAGTAGGCTTGAGAAGGTGGGTAATAACAAACTCCTCCGAGCTAAAGGAGTATGTTCTAACCTAATACAAAGAAGCTAAGAACCTTGAAAAAAAGTTAGACGAAATACTGACTAGAATAACCAGTTTAGAGAAGAACGTAAATGACCTGATGGAGCTGAAAAACACAGCACGAGAACTTAGCATACTCAGGTATCAATAGCGAAATCGATCAGGTGGAAGAAAGGATATCAGAGATTGAACATCAACTTAATGAAATAAAGCGTGAAGACAAGATTAGAGAAAAAAGAATGAAACGGAGCTAACAAAACCTCCAAGAAATATGGGACTATGTGGAAAGACCAAACCTACGTTTGATTGATATACCTGAAAGTGATAGGGAGAAGGAACCAAGTTGGAAAGCACACTTCAGGATATTATCCAGGAGAACTTCCCCAACATAGCAAGACAGCCAATATCGAAATTCAGGAAATACAGAAAACACCGAAAAGATATTCCTTGAGAAGAGTCAGCCCTAAGACACATAATCATCAGAATAACCAAGGTTGAAATTAAGGAAAAAATGTTAACGGCAGACAGAAAGATGGAGTTACCACAAAGGGAAGCCCATCAGACTAACAGCAGATCTTTCTGCAGAAACCCAACAAGCCAGAAGAGAGTGGGGGCCAATATTCAACATTTTTTTTTTTTTTTGACTTAAAAATATATTTATTTCCAGGTATAATCAGACAAACCCTTACTCCCTCAGTTTAAGTTTTTTGTTTTATTTTTTTTGACAATTGCCATTTTTTAAAATTTATTTATTATTTCCCTCCCCCCCCATTTATTTTATTGCATTTTGGGTTTTGGGGTACATGTGAAGAACGTGCAAAATTGTTGCATAGGTACACACGTGGCAGTGTGATTTGCTGCCTTCCTCCCCATCACCTACATCTGGCATTTCTCCCCTTGCTATCTCTCCCCAGCTCCCCGCCCCCCACCGTCCCTCCCC